GTATCTTTGAAGATCTTCAAAAACTATCAAAATACAAGGACCTCGAAAATCGAAATCTCAAAAATGTGGCTCATGGAACATTAACAATTCCATTTGTAGTTGGAGCCCTCGGATTGATTGGAAAAGATTCCAATAGATCTATTGAAGGGATTTACGCTAGCACATGCCTTAAAGAAATACAAAAAGTTGTACTCACAAGTACAGTCGATACCTTAGACTTTTCAGACCTAAATTACCATTCTATTTTTGTCCCTATCGTCTCTTAGCATTTGCTCATACTGTTCGATACTAGTAACCGCCATTTTTGGACGACTTGGAAAAAGATCAAATCTTCTGTGAACAGAATAAAACCATATTGGCAATCATTCTCGGATATGTGTAATTTTCAATAACGCGAAAACTTAATGATGTCATATGGGGTATCGTTCCTTATGATTATTTCCGATGCAAGCGAAGCTGATTAGATAAATGAAGAAGCCTTGAGCAAATTATTATCAATGATAGATTATGCTTAATTAGAAAATATATACTTCATTATATAAGTGGTTGTAATTCATTTTCTGTATTCATATAAAATAATATATCATTTTTTTATCATGTGGGTATCTGTCTATTTCTCTAATCTGCTTTGTTTTTATATTCATTTAAAATCTCTCTCTCTCTCTCTCACTCTCTCTCTCTCTCTCTCTATATATATATATATATATATATATATATATATTTCATATCTGTCTATCTAGATAGATAGAAAGCTGTCTCTATACTATTCACATCTATCTAAAACTGTTCATATCTATCTATCTATCTATCTATCTATCTATCTATCTATCTATCTATCTATCTATCTATCGATCTATCTCAGCCTTTTCCTATCTATCTATGATGCTGTTTCTATCTATCTATCTATCTATCTCAGCCTTTTCCTATCTATCTATCTATCTATCTATCTATCTATCTATCTATCTATCTATGATGCTGTTTCTATCTATCTATCTATCTATCTATCTATCTATCTATCTATCTATCTATCTATCTGTTTCTATGAGACTGTTCATATCTATCACTCTATCTGATTTTGTGGAATGGCGTATTATCATTATTACATTAACAATACATTAGCTTATTTACATTTCACTTAATGTCCACATATTTCTTCTTAATAGCATAACGTTTCAGCTGCTGTGACCTCTTGCCTTCTTCAGGTCTATATCAATCTGAGTAACCTTCAAGTTAATTTCGAACTGAATCATTCATACGAGGTTAGCTTGTTCACACCTCATTTTCAACGTCCCCCGATATCTTGTCACTTACCTTTTTCTTTTCTTTTAGTACTGATCAATTACTGCCCCCACCCTCTTTTCCCTTGAGTCTGCATTATCCGACCTCACAATTCTTTTGTCACCAAATGCACGAACTAACGCCATTTCGACTAAGCCTCTGTAAACAGGCCTCACTTGACATAATAGACGAATGAATTAAAGTATAAAACCTCATGCTAGATAATCAACAAAGTCTGTTGCCCTCGTATAAAATTTCTATTTTTTTTATGCAGGCCTTGAAAGTCTCGTCCGAGGATCTCATAAGCACATAAATTTTCCATTAAGGGTAAAATATTCTTTTGTACGTTTTCGACCCCCTTCCTCCTCCGTAAGATCCGCTTTAAATGTTCTTACAGTTTTCGGGTTGGTTTGTTTTGTTTTACGGTATATCAACCTCAATGGATTATTTAATATCGACAATATTTTTGTATCTATCTATCTATCTATCTATCTATCTATCTATCTATCTATCTATCTATCTCAGTATATATTGGTTTAGCTTGTTTTACGGCATATCAACCTCAATTGGTTATTTAATGCTGACAACATTTTTAGGATAGGTTCGTATGAATAGAATATGTATACTTTGGTTTAATTTGGTTTCGTTTCTTGTGTTTTACGGCATATCAACCTCAATGGGTTATTTCATGCCGGCAAGATTTTTCTTGCTGCTAATATCTATCTATCTATCTATTTGGGTACCCCATACTTTCGGCCTTGTGCCACATCTAAGCTAGGCTTAGAAAATCACTATCTATCTATCTATCTCAGTATACATTGATTTGGTTTGGTTTGTTTTACAGTATATCAACCTCAATGGGTTATTTAATGCCGACAAGATTTTTATTGCTGCTAATATTTTTTATCTATCTATCTATCTATCTATCTATCTATCTATCTATCTATCTCAGTATATATTTCTTTGGTTTGGTTTGTTTTACGGCATATCAAGATGGATAATCGTATTTGAGTAGACGTCCCGTTTATTTATTAAATAGTGTATTTATTATTTTCACCAACCGGTCTGAATATCCGAGAGATCTTATTAAAGAATAACAGGCGCTATATATCCGTTTTTTAAAATTATAACAAATATATCAACAATATTACTCAATGATCTTGCCGATGTCACCTCCATCTTCTGTCTTTCTCCTTCTATATTTTAATAGGAGTCATTTCCTTGTTCAGATTTAAATTTTAAGCCTATCCAAATGTAAACAAATGACTTAAAATATTTGACGGGCTTTGTGTGACGTCATTTGTTTACATTTGGATACGCTTTGAGCAGATATGAATGTACGTGAGAGATTCATGGAAGATTGAAGTTTAAAGGCAGTAAATTAGACCTTGCTAATCGAACGATCCTCTGTGGCTCGATCGGTTAAGAGCACGTCAGGCTATATGACGGTTTCATATAGGATACAGGTTCGATTCCTGTCGGAGGACGCATATTTTCTATGACAATTTCTCGGACATTCAGGCCGGTAAATGTTGTTTAACACTGTTTATTATAAACAGAGCATTTACTTAAACATTTGTATCTATAAAAAGAATGTATAAACATAAAAATTTCTTAAAATAATTGTCGAACTTTGTCCATTTCATAATATATATATATATATATATATGCGCGAATGTCACTGTGTCACTCTTTTTGAACTTTACTACGAGAGGCCGTAGCCCAACATATACCATTTTGGAATTAGGCCAACTCTCTGAGCAAATATAAAAACATTCCGGGCTGGATCCGGACCTACAATCCTGAAATTTTAGATTCCCACGTTTTCATTACTGCGATTTTGTTTTCGGAGATTTTTTACGTTTTTTTTTTTTTTCGGCGAAGTTTTTGTGCGATAACAATTTTTGGAACTTGAAAATAAATATGGGAATAATCGAAATTAACTGCAAAACCTATCGAAAGTCCCCCATGAAATAAAAATAATTGTTTGTACGAAAAGTAAGGACCTACGTACATCAAGTATTAATATTTAAAATTAAGTGGCAGCAGAAGAATTATCGTTGAACTTTTAATAGTTAATCTTAAATATTAATGCTTAAATGCAGCGATTAATTTTGAGTTCTTCTGTAGTTTATTGTTGTCTGTCATGTCTACGCCTCTCTACCTTTTGTGATGAAGGCCAAATCATGAGCACTCCGCAGCTACTAGCTTAAATGCCGCACGATTAGGCGGCTTTTAAGCTAGTACTAAAACATTTTAAGAGTCTGTTTCTGATTTTAAATATGAGTGTCTTTCAAGTTCGCATTTTTTGTTGAACTTCTTCATTCGTCGCGTGTTCAGCCCATGTTATTCTCAGTGATGTTCATCCTGTACAAGGTCCAGGAGCCACCCAAGGTAGAGGATTAAGGCGGCTTTTAAGCTAGTACTAAATAATTTTAAGAATCTGTTTCTGATTTTAAATATGAGTGTCTTTCAAGTTCGCATTTTTTGTTGAACTTCTTCATTCGTCACGTGTTCAGCCCATGTTATTCTCAGTGATGTTCATCATGTACAAGGTCCAGGAGCCACCCAAGGTAGAGGATTAAGGCGGCTTTTAAGCTAGTACTAAATAATTTTAAGAATCTGTTTCTGATTTTAAATATGAGTGTCTTTCAAGTTCGCATTTTTTGTTGAACTTCTTCATTCGTCACGTGTTCAGCCCATGTTATTCTCAGTGATGTTCATCCTGTACAATGTCCAGGAGCCACCCAAGGTAGAGGATTAAGGCGGCTTTTAAGCTAGTACTAAATAATTTTAAGAATCTGTTTCTGATTTTAAATATGAGTGTCTTTCAGGTTCGCATTTTTTGTTGAACTTCTTCATTAGTCGCGTGTCCAGCCCATGTTATTCTCAGTGATGTTCATCCTGTACAAGGTCCAGGAGCCACCCAAGGTAGAGGATTACAGAATAAGGGACACTGTTTATGTGAATATATAGAAGAAGATAACGGTTAATCCTAGACTTGAATAACATGATTGTTTGTGATCGTGGAAACCATTCTCTTGCGGGTCGATTCTACAAAATTTGGAAGGAGTGGCTCGAATAGAATTTACGTCTCATCAATGGAATACGAAAAGAAAGAGTGTTGTCTGCTACAGTGTGCGTGGCACGGCAGGTCTTCACAATGAAGGTTAGGACTGATGGAACTAAGGAATATATTTCATTCGAGCACTTTCCATGGAAGTAACAACAGAGCAGCGAGAGGCTTGCCACATGCTGTCTGTGAGGGAAGCGTTGCATGGTGGAAATTAATTTGCCACCCACAAGTACGCGGAGACGCATTTGAACTCTATCGACACTGGAAAATGAAGACTGGGCAACTCCTGCCCATATATGGCAACAGTAGTCCATTTTTGGAATCTGACTCTTGTAAAGGTAGAGGATACCAGGACGAGTCAAATACTTACTGGAATGGCACAGAGATTATTCCATTTTTCCAGCATCTTTAGTGATGGATCATATATATATATATACGAGTTCCACTTGAAGTCTTGGTTAAGTTTAAGTCCCAATAAGTGCTCAAGACACGGAGCCTCCACGAGGGAACATTTGTAAGGAAATTATGCAGAATTCACTGACATCCAGCTATGACATAATAATTCATCATTCTATTCGTTTTTATCGAGAAATTCAATGAAAAAAAAACAATAGATGGGGCAATCAGTTTAATGCGCCGGATAATGTTAGAAATACTGATGGATCAAGAACAGTACGGCTCTGTTAAGGACACTCGAACAAGAAATGTAATGTTCATGATTAGAACGATATCAGAGATAGAGAGAGGGAAAGAGATGGGAGAGAGAGGGAGAGAGAGGGAGAGGGAGAGAGAGGGGAGAGAGATGGGGAGAGAGAGATGGGAGAGAGAGGAGGAGGGAGAGAGAGATGGGGAGAGAGATGGGAGAGAGAGGGAGAGAGAGATGGGGAGAGAGGGAGAGAGAGGGGAGAGACAGAGGGGAGAGAGATGGAGAGGGATAGAGAGGGAGAAAGAGAGGGAGAGATGGGGAGAGAGATTGAGAGAGGCAGAGAGAAGGGAGACGGAGAGAGAGAGAGGGAGAGAGAGATGGGGAGAGAGAGGGGAGGGGGGAGAGGGGAGAGAGGGAGGGAGAGAGGGGGGGGAGGGAGAGAGGGGGAGAGAGAAGGAGAGAAAGAGAGAGGGATGGGGGAAAGTGATGGGAGAGGCCGATGTGTGTGAATTTGTTTTATAGATTACGGAAAAAAGTATTTGACAACGTACAGGAAAGGATCTACACTTTTGTGCAACGAAGCGAATAACTCCGTTATTATTTACATTTTTTTCGTATTTTTCCATTGAGACATGGCCCCAGTGCACATGTTAGATACTTTGTATGTCCATTCCACGAAGGTGTTCCTCACAGAATCAGGAGAGTTTCCGGGCCAGTCTATAGTACTTTGATTTGCTCACTAGTAAAACTTGCTGGTGTTCAATTTTCGTATTCCCCCACTTTAAGCCCTTTTTCTATTTTGTCACACACACACACGCGCGCGCGTACACACACAAACACACACACACAAACACACACACACATATCTTATATTTGTCCTGAATATTCCTGTTATATCTGTTCTGGTTTGGTTTGGTTTATTTTGTTTTACGGCATATCAACATCTCAATGGGTTATTTAATGCCGACAGCATTTTTAGGATAGATTCCTATGAATAGAATATGTATTCTTTGCTTTAAATTGGTTTGGTCTTATTTTTTTACGGCATATCAACCTCAATGGGTTATTTAATGCTGACAAAATTTTTTATTGCTGGTAATATTTTGTTTTGTCAAAAATCTGTTTCTGGTAATATATTTTCTTCAAAATTGTATTGCTGGTAATAATTTTTTTCAAAAATGTATTGCTGGTAATAGTTAACTATTTGCCCATAGCCGGGACCCTAACAGGTGCTACCACCCCTGGTCAGGGTGGACCTGGGAACACCAGCAATTAAGAGGTAGTTCCACGCTCCTCAAAACATCCTGATCAGAGGCCTTGCTGCTGGACGTAGTTTAACGTCTTACCCAGGATGCGGATGTAGTTTAACGTCTTACCCAGAACGCCGTATCTGTTCTGGTACTCTTGCTATATATTTAAAGATTCTGGATAAATCGAAACAAGAATCTGTAATTTTATTCATCCTGACCTGGCATCTCGACTTCAGTCCTTTACCTACGACTGTAACCCAGCTTCCTTGTGCCTTTTTTTATAAACATTTTCGTGGTAATTGTTCTGAAGAGCTTATATTTCCGGTCACATCATTTGAAGTTGAAATGGAGAGATGTAACCGCAAGTTCTATGCTAACAGTTTCTTCTATTGCACTTCTTGCTTGTGGAACTCTCTTCTGGCTTCTTGCTTTCCAGTTAACTTTGCATTGCAATGCCAATCGTTACCTACTGTCATCTCAATGCTTGTAATTTTATTTTCATTCTCCTTAATAGTGCTTTTTTTTTCTCATATTCTCTAACACTCTATGACCCCATTTTGTCTTAGTGGTTTTATTTGCTTGCTTGGATGAAATCATTAAAGATATAAGTTGTGATGTGGGGTCTGGAAATAAAACTTAAATCGGTAGAGTCATTCGTGATAGCAGTATTCATTACTCAACTAGACAAGTTACTGGATTTACCCAGGACTACTTATCATGAATGTAATGATCCGTTCATGATAGTAAGGAGGGTAACTGGCTCTTACCACAACAATATATATATATATATATATATATATATATATATATATATATATATATATATATTAAAAAGAAGGGTTTATCGCAAACGTTTTTTGGTTGTAATGTGGATTTATTGAGAAAAATAGAAATACTTTGTTTAAATTTTTAAACAAAGTTTCTAATGGTTTTTCTCAATAAATCCACATTACCAAAAGCAAAACGTTTGCAATACCCTTTCTTTTTTTTAATATACATACTTTTCTCTCGTTGGAACCACTACAACATATTTCTTTTTATATATATATATATATATATATATATATATATATATATATATATATATATATATATATATATATAACTATGAACATAAAGAGCCAGGCAAACATAACGCGGATCGTCAGCACTTTGTTTAGCTACTTTTGCTTTACTCGTTTTGGAGTTTTTTTCTTTAGACTCTGGACTTGGATTCTGGGCAATTGTTTTCGCCTCAATTACATGTTCTTAGGTTTCTTAGGCCTTTCTTTTTTATCCCATATTTTTCCTTGGGTATTGGTTTGTTCATTTACAAGCCAAAATATCTAAGGATTTTCGGACGAGTATACTTACTTATATTTATAAGATTATTATTATTATGATATATATATATATATATATATATATATATATATATATATATATATATTAGGATATGTTGAATCCGCTACCTTGGTTTTAACCTTAGGGTATCCGCAGGCGATTTTTATCAAATGTTCTCCCGACGCTTAACTCTTTTTTTTTTTTTTTTAAAGAACTAATAAACGCTATATTATTAAAAAAAAAACAAAAAAAACATTGCACAACGTTGGGTGAGATAAAAAGGGAGAAGGAAGGTGTGGAAGGAAGGAGAAGAAGAACAGAGAAGAAAAAAGAAGCAAAAGTATTATAAATGCATCTATGGGGGGGTAATTGAAATGTAAACTTTTTATCCAGCCTCATATATGCTTAAACGGAATTTTTAGTATGTATGCAAAGATTCATGACTTCAGATTTCTGGTTCAAACGGTTCTTTGGATCCGGAAATGTCATTATTGCTAATTTATCCTGTTGGCAGAGGTTGTAAATATTGTGGTTGTTGTAAGACTTTGCCTTTTGTAAACTTTTCCAGCTTACAATTAGATCACAGCTGTTTTTTTGTAATTCCACACACGTTCAGCCATTTAGGTACAGCACCTAAGACTTACTAGCTTGAATGAGGACCTATGATTATATATATATATATATATATATATATATATATATCATGGTCATGTGTGACATCACGAGCTGCGACGCGATTTTCGCTTCCGCGTCTCGTATACACAAGTTTGTCGTTGTTTTGAAATTTTTCATGCAGCAAGGGCGGACTATCATTGTGGTTTCGTCCGTGTGTTGTTTGGTATATTGAAATTGTCATCTTTGATAATGGCTTATGTAAGCCGAAAACTTAGATTGGATTTAAACATATATCAATATGGTGTTTTCCTTTCGTCTTTCAATGATAATGTGATTAAGATTATCAGACAATATGAAAGGAACTTACTTAAAATAGACAAAACTTGTCATTATTACTTAATGAAACATTCATCAATATATATATATATATATATATATATATATATATATATATAGAGAGAGAGAGAGAGAGAGAGAGAGAGAGAAAGAAAGAAATTAAATCATATAAAGAGAAAGGGAAGGAATAGCTTTTTACGTACCCATGAAGAACCAACACCATACATATCTGTCGCATTTCGTAGATTTCTCTTTAACTCGCATGAGAAGTGGCTCGTCTTTTGTGGCCAGCCATGTAACAACTGACTTTTCTCACCAACGTGCTATCAACTGGCACTCAAGGGCCCCTTTAGAAATCAGTACATGTATCCAGTCAAAAGAAGATGATAATATTTGCATTCCAACAGTATTTCTGTCCGGTGTGTGTAGCCTTTTTAACAGAATCCTGCATGTTTGGCTTTTGCCGAGTCTGCATTCGCACACAGTTGATTGTGTGAATTGTCGGACTACTGCTATTTATTAGTTTCAACTCCGAGGAAGAAAATTAAAATTTGTATCTACGCCGGGAAATTGTTTTGTGAGCTTTGATCGCATCATGACGCTGCGTGATGTGCCATTTCTTCAGATAGACGTGGATTCACTCGTCCAATCAGACAAACTCACCCAAGCACAAATGCACACATGTACTGACCCTGAAATCGTAACCAACAAAGATGGCGATTTCACATTCATGATTCAAGTAATGTCAGTAAATATGCATGGATTCAAATCTATTATTTTCTTCCAGATTGATCTGACATGTAAACTGTAAATAGGATGTGGACAAACCACTCTTGCGTGGGTAAAATTACCTGAAGGAATATGACAGGTAAACAATACATACATACATACATACTTTTATATATATATATATATATATATATATAATAATGGTGGGAGGTGGAATGACAAAATATCTATGTAGCGCGTTTCGTTCTTCAAAAGGACATCATCAGACCAAAACAATGTTATTATATATATATATATATATAATAAGGAATGAAAGCTAATATCGTATCTGATGGTATGATGTCGCAATCCTTTAATGTCACAAAATGGCACCAAACAAAGTTGTGTTATGACCCCTGTCCTTTTTGCCCTTTTCTTCTCGGTAATGCTGAAATATGCATTTGCAGGCACAGAGAGTGGCGTCAAGTTTCAGTTTCGAACAACTGGTGGTCTCTTCAATCATCAACGTTTCAAAGCCAATTATTCGTGATTTGTTGTTTGCTGATGATGCGGCTCTTGTAGCGACATCCTTTGAGGAGGCCCAACATCTAATAAATCGTTTCTCTGCTGCATGTAAAGCATTTCGTCTTACACGTAGCATAAAGAAAACTGAAGTAGTGCATCAACCTTGTTCTACTCCGACGCAATTGCGTGGTGTTAAAACAAAAACCACCAGTCTACAAATTTCCAGAGAGACCATTGAAAGTAGAAGACAAACCACTGAACTATGTAAAGTCTTTCACCTATCTTGGTAGCAAAGTCAACTACAGTGGAACTTTAGATGATGAAGTCATGCATCGGATTGCTAAGGCTACCAGTGCTTTCGGCAAACTTCGCCATCGCTTGTGGAATGAGCAGGGTATTCGACTGGATACGAAAATTCGGGTTTACAGAGCTGTTGTACTTCCCATCCTTTTGTATGGCTCAGAGTCGTGGACTCCATACAGGTACCATATACGCCAGCTGGATGTTTGCCATAAAAGCTGTCTGCGTGCAATCTGTGGAGTTAAGCTTCAAGATAGGACATCTAACGTAGACCCGTTTAACAGGTGTAATATTGGAGGAATCGAGACTTTTATCATACAGTCTCAGTTACGGTGGACTAGTCTTGTCTTGAGAATGTCTGATGACAGGATGCCCAAGATCCTAATGTTAGATCAGGGTTACAGCAATGTAGGACGCCCATGGCTAAGATATAAAGACAAGCTGAAAAGCAACTTGTCAGCAGTCAATATACCACATAACACCCTTGAGCGCTTAGCCTTGGAGCGGGT